TTACACACCTCCCAATAATTGTGAGGTCATCTTCTTTATGTGTCCATGTTTAAATATCTCCCTGTATTTTTTTTAAAATGTGTTCAGTGTACTAAACTAATTGAACTAATTTATCTATAGTGGAATGAATAGGAAAGTGAAACTCTATTCAAGCATCAAAAAAGGTACCATATGTTTGCATTCACAGACAACACATAAGCTGCGCCCATCAGCAAAACCTCTGCATATGCACACACATATAGAGACAAGCAGGGAGAAGCCTCAGAGCAACTATATTAAACTTTCTGGGGGAAATGACTGTTTTAACACTTCAAGGAGGGGTATTTTGCTTATACCAATGTGCTCTGCAAGAGCTCCTTTCAAATGCTTTACATTCCCTGTTTGTTTGGTAAGCTTATCTCACTTCAAGGGCATTAGAATTTTTTGTTTGTTTTGTTTAGTAGGATCATGTTTCTATACATGTGCTGTACAAAATAACCCCTTCCCTTTTAAAAATGTCTAACAAAACATTGCAAGAGACTGTTAAGACACACAGTGCATATTACTCTAGAGAGTTAGTTTTTCAAGTTAGTTAGAGGATTAAGTTATTAGAAAGCATTATTTATTAAAATGTCTACCATAAAATGCGTTCAGTCAAAAACACTCATTTCACAAAAAGACAAAACTGATGAGGCTGAAACACAAATCTGTTTCCAAAGACCCAGAACACATAGCAGAGTTGAGGTCTAAAAGGTGAATGTCAGCTATTTCATCTTCACCCACCAAATATATAGGCATATCCTTACAGAGAACACACGAATCACTCATTCAATATTTATACAGTTATAGGAGCTAGGGCTTCATATCGAAGTGCTTCTGAACTCAATTTTATAAATTTGAACGTTTACATTATCTATCCAAGGATCAGTACGGTTATGTCTCAGGCACAAGGAAAGTATCAGTAAGTGCAACAGCAAGACTCCATTCCCTAGTCTTTTTTTCCCCCTTTACCATCCCAGACTTGAATACTTTCTGTGCTGAACTAATTTACATGAATTAATCTGAATTAAATCATAATCTTTATTTCATGCTAAAATTTGAAAAGGAGTTATTAAATTCCTGTTGTAATTGGGTGTTGGTAAAACAATGATGGAATAAAATTAAAACAGGTAATAACCGTAATTTTCCAGAAAATGTGTGTATGTACACATTTGTGTGCATAAACAAACAGTAAGTCTCACAATAATGCTAACACAATGCTAAGATTATCAGGATACAGATAGTTCTCAGTTACTGACTGCAATTGGGACCAGCAACTCTGTTGTTAAGTGGCATGGTCATTAAGTGAAAGGTCACGTGAGCATGCCAACCCATGTCAGTTTCAGCTGTGGTTGTTAAGCAAATCACCATGGATCTTTAAGTGTGGTCATGTGACTGCGATTTACTACTTCCTGCCAACTTCCCCATGGACTTTGCTTGTTGGAAGCTGGCTGTGAAGGTAGCAAATGGTGATCACATGACTGTGGGATGCTGCAACCATTGTATATGCATGCCGGTCGCAAAGCGCCCAAATTGCGATCATGTGACCGTGGGGATGCTACAACTTGAGGACTGATCATAAGTCTCCTTTTGGAGCACCATCATAACTTAGAACGGTTGTCGAATGAGTGGTTGGTGAGCGAGGACTACCTGTATTATTAAAGTTTTAAGAGACACTTTCTAAATATATAAAAAATCTGAGGTTCTGAGGAAAAATAAAGTCCTCTTTCCTTTACTTCCAACTACATCATTCAAATATACAGTTTCCTTTCAACATTTATCTAAATACCCACATAAATTATGCCTAGAAATACTGATAATGACAATAAAAATACAACTGTTAGAATATTTTTCTACCCACATAAATTATGCCTAGAAATACTGATAATGACAATAATAATACAACTGTTAGAATATTTTTCTCTCCACACTTCAGTGGAACATTTCTCATAATTCTCCCAAAACCATAGTAGCAAACAACAGAACTGCTTCCCATAGTATGCATTCCCAGTAACCCAATCCTTACATAAAAACACAATACATTAAAGTGGATCTAGAGTTGTATTTCAATCTTAAATATCACTGATCTAGTGGAATTAAAGCGTGATTCAACCCAATATATACTGGTTTAAATCTAATATATAGTGCCCCAGATCATGCTTGAGGTCATGCTACAGACTTCAGGTAAAAAAGGGACATCTCATAAAAACCATGCTACTCAAATTACTAACTGAAGCAATCTGATTCACTTAATGTACATCAATAGCACTATGTTAACTTGGAGAAAGATCATCATTCCTATTTGTGAACCTTCTGGAAGTATCAGAAGGTTTGTTACTATCAGAAACAGGATAGAATGGTTCTTTGATGGCTCAATATGTGCATGTTTGAAGCATCAAATTTAAAAGCACAGTTCACCAAGTACAAATTTCCTGCTTTTGTATTTTCAGGCAGACAGTGAAAGCTGCCATTATTTTTTTACCTCTCTAAGATAGTAAAGCAATTTAAGCAAACAGTTCCATGAAATGTGAAGATTACGCTTAAATGTAAGCAGCTGGAATGTTTTAAATGATATGCAATTTTGCACACTGCACTAAGCCAGACACAATATTCCAAAATGCCTATGTATAGTCAAGATAATGCTCATGTGCCATTAAATCATATTTTTTTTATTCATCCAGGGCACTTCTAAGAAGTTCAATACATGGATAGGCAGGCCCCCAAGATGCAGACAACACCGAAATCTTACAGCTCCAGATCCGCCCAGGAGTATACCCCCCTCAAATCTGGCAACGAACCATCAAATGTGAACAAGCGCAATATCTTTTAAATGTTCCTTTCAAAAAAACCCTCAAAATGGAAGATGAAGAAAAAGTCAGCCACTTGTGTGACATAACATCTTGTATCCACTTTATATAGTAAGGTGGAAAAAAGTCAGCTATTTTCTCCCCACAGCTACAGAAAGGGGACTCACTCCTAGAGTAGAAATACTGTAGCTGGAGTTCTAAGGAACTTGTATCATTTACTTTTTCAGTTTTAAATTCAGTTCAATATGATGATTAATACACACTAGATCTTATTTGTTTTGTTTTCTATTTCCCTTCTGCCTTAGAAAGTGAAATAATCTAAGGGAACTCTATGAATGGTTTCCATCATCTGAAAAAAAAAAAAAAATCTAGACCCAGCACTGCATTGTTCTCTTCTTCCTTAAGAAAGCTCCCTTCCCATTTCTTCTATTAACTTTTGGAGAGAAAATGAAACCCTTTTTATCTGAAGAGCTTTTACCTGAATTAGCCTCAAACTGAAGAATTCTCTTTTTTTTAAGATTGACATTATTTTTGTACTGTTAGATGCGGTGTTTCATTTTGTCACATTTTATTCTGACTTGTAAATTACTGAAATTCTTATGAAATTTCTGTTATAAATTCTGAAAATTTATAAACTTTCATCTTTAAATAATTACAAGGCCATCATGGAGCTACAATTTGGGCTTCATCATTTTCATACAGTTATTCAAACCAAAACAAAGTAAGGTCTACAGACTTAGAGGGTACATTCAGCCAGAAAATATGTACAGTGAAAAAACAATGTCTTAAAGAAAATAATAATACATGCTGAACAGTTAGCCAATCATTATTATTTTGGTTCACAGATCCAAATTCACAGGTATAATTCATAGTTTCTAAACAGGAACTTATAAGTTTATATGCATAAAAAAAAATAATCAATCATATTGTGCTACTCACTGAAACATGGACTTCTTGAATTCATTTTATATTGATTGGTAACCTCTGAATATGTAAATGTGAAGTATTTATGTACCATTTTCTACACTAGGAGTATGCACATAGATAAACTGATTTTCACGGTCCAAGTAATTTGTTTTCAGGAACAAAAAGTCAAAGAAATTTGCAGATAGCATATCATATACTTCCCAATATCTAGAAAACGGCATGTGTTCAAGCATGTGGACAGGATTTCTGATGAAGCATGCTGACTTTAACATGAGATAAAATTCCTGATCATACATTAATTTCTATCACTTTAGGGCTTATATAGGTTTATTTAATCAATCAATCTATGCTAAAATTAAATGTAGTAATTAAGAAGTCTATTACCAACTCATTTGTAAAAATTTCAGAATTTTAACATTTTTTTTCAGATTAGTGTTATCAACACTAAGGATACACAATTTTAGCTTTCATTAAAAGCACTGCATAAACCTACCACAGAAAGACCAGACAAACCTAACCCAAAGTAATTATTGCAGAAGTATATAAAAACTGATAATCTATTTAATACAGCCCTGAAAAAATACTTGTAGAAACATTATATATACCTATATGTACACGCACATATATACACACGCATATATATATACACACATACAGACACACATTTTCAAATGCCATCTCATTCAATGCCCCAAAAGAAATGGTCAAACTACAGGCAGTCCCCAGTTTAAGAATGAGTTCTGTTCCCAAGATCTGTCCAATAAGTCAAAATTGTTTGTAAGCTGGAACAGTATTATTGTATAATGCTGTATAAGTAGTAGTGCGTAATGAACTTGAACCACTGTGTATTTAACTCAAATCATTGTGTATTTAACTGAAATTTTGCTATAATAGGCTCCATTCTTAATTCTAAGTCATCCTTAAACTGGGCGTTCTTAACTGAGGGACTACCTGTATTACATGGACATTGATATATTTTGCAGTTGAGTTTCAAATAAAGTAATTTTTGTTCATTAGAAACAAAGGGAACCATATATAGCCAGATTTTAAGATCAGGGAAAAAATATCTACTGTACCAAAAGTAGAGCTAGGTTTAAATACAATAGAAATAAAAGAAATTAATCAGAGATAAAGATATACCAAGCAAAGCAGGTTCTGTATTTATATTATCAATTTAATGTAAATAATTTAATATATTCAATAGTTATTTGTGTTACCTTCAAAAAGTATTCTAAAACAAATGTTTACCTGTATCCAGACGCTTTACAGGGGACTCATCATCCACCTCAGAATCTCCACATGCACTCCTTGATCTTTTCCTGGGCTGCAGTAGTGTCTCCAACCTTGGAAGGACTACAGACAAAAAGGTTTTGGTCCCTAGCTGTGGAGAAGTTGGCTGGGTTTCAGTGTTCTTTGCAGACTTTGGGGGGCTTACACTTTTCGATTTGCAGAAGAGAATTGATGTACGTCTGTTTACATCAGTTGATGACTCAGCTACAGCAGAAACAGTCGACTCACTGAGATTACTGTCAAGTAAGTGTTCTGGAGTGTGTCCGTTTATTTCTTTCTGAATGGAAGTACTATACAATTCATTGTCAAATTTTACTCTTTTGTAAAATTTATTCTGCTCTGGATTGAGTTCTACTGGTTTGAGGGTTGGTGGCTCTGAATTAGTCTCCGAGTTTGAAGGAAGAGGTAATGCATCTGATGGTTCAAGTTTAGGGGGAGATTTATCTCCTGAAAAAATTAATAAAGTTGTTTTTTTGAAAACTGATAGTTATAAGAGCTACTACATAAAACTTAGTATCAAATACGTAGCCCGCAGTAAATATTGTTTGATACAAAGTAAAGCATCTCATGTATGTAAACTTTAAACAAACTATCTGTCCTAGTTAATGCCTATATTTATGTGGGAATGTTGTAAAAGTAAAAAAGATTGGCTTTAATATTCAATGTCTTTATTTGATAGTAGAAACTCTCACTGGAACCAACATTATGAATTCTTGGTGTTATGAACTTCAACTTAAAAGTTCTGATTCATATGGATGATTTAAGCCTTTAAATATTATATTACTACAACAGTATTCATGGTTTACAATGTTTATAAAAGTATTTATACTTGGGTAGAATACACTGAATAAATAAATCTATTTTTCTTTTTAAAACTGAAAGAATGGGGCAAAACTAATGTATTTAAAAAACAATTTTATAATTATGGCTACAATTTTCAATTTGATCAAATTAAAATACTTTAGCAGAAAATATTAAATTATTTGAGAGAACTCAACTGATTCTTATCAATTCCTCTTTATCTTCTATTTATTTGAATGACATTTTAGAGATTCTTTACAGCAGTTTTGCATGAGGAATTTTAGAATATTTTAGAATGTTCTTATTTAGGTTCCAAATACAGGTAGTCCTTGTTTACCAATGGTAATTGGGACCGGGAACTTCATTATTAAGCTACGCTATTGTAAAGTGCAACATCATGTGATCATGCCAACTTACGATGGCAGTTCCAGTTGCTGTTGTTAGGCAAATCCCACGCAGTCACAGTGTCCCACGGTCATGTGATTACCATTTGTGATCTCCTGTCGGCTTCCCCAGAGACTGCTTTTTGGAAGCCGGCAGTTAAGGTCATAAATGGCAATCATGTGACTGCAGGGACACTGCAATGGCCACAACTACCAAGACTCGTTAACGGTAAGTCCCCCTTGTTCAGTGCCATCATAACTTCAAAACAGTCACTAACAAGTGGATGTTAAGTGACAACATGTATTACATGTGTTTAACTGACTAGATAAGGACATACACAAGATAGTTATTTCTATAAAATTACCTTGTCAGCATCTCAGCCTGGCTATATTATTGTGGATGCTTTTTGTGCAGACTACAAACCAAAAAGAAAACCCCTGAAAATAGCTTGCATGTGTTATTCTTCACATGTATCCTCCCACACATATTGAAATTACTGACCAATTTAACCAAATTTATTATTGTACAATTTTACTAATCTATCTGAATCCCAATTCCAGATGTTAACCTCTGTGATAATTTGGCTGAAAAAAATAATTTCAGAGCACACATTTATTCATATATTAACCTTTTTACTTTATTTTGCAGAGGCTTAAAAAGCCTCCACTATAAAATGTTATTTTATATTTAAATAATCAATTCAGGGGGTTTAAAATTTATATTTACAAAGGGGGATATTGAGATTCCTATCAATTAAATGATCTGAAGCAAAGAGACACTGGAAGATCAGGGACAGCTGATAGCTGACTAAGATATATGACCATGACTGTGATAATGAAAGGGCTATCCAATCCACCTGAGTTACAAATTTTAGGGAAATATTAGTAATGATATCTTCTCTGTGACAGCAAAGAAAGGAATAGCCATCTGAATCCCACCAAAATGAATATAACTAAGTATAGTAGCAGCATTTCCATACTGCATTGTATAATGAACTATTTAGTTACCTTATTTTATGTTTATCTTTTTGACATACTCTTTTTTTGTTTTTACTCATGTAATGCCTTTCAAGTGGGAATATAATTAGAGCAATTTCTGAGATTTTAGTCAGCATACCTTATGAAATTTGTGGACAAATACAGAGTTCTTCTAAAGGGAAAAACTGATCCTTTCTGATGGATTAAAATTTGTCATTGGTTTATTCATATAGTAATTCATTTTACTGCTCTATGAACTTCAAGTTATTATTCTATTAATAAAGGTATGTGGAATGTCACCAGCAGCTTCAATCTGGAAGAAACTGAACAAGTCTGCATATATATGGCTTTTTGAAAAAAGTCTAATCTATATTCCATTGTGCCAGAATGCAATTTGCTGTGTGCGTGTTTACTCAAAACCATTATTTATACTTAAGATACTGTAATATTAAAAGTATGGAGGTCAAAAGGGAAAATGTAACATTTGGATCTCTCTTCCAACCATCCCCGCTTTAAGATGAAATTTCTGAAAATTTGATGGAACACTAAAACAACAACCAAAAAATACCTTGAGTGTAATGTTTTGTAAGACAATTCTTTTTACTCACACTATTTATATTGCATCAAGATTTTGATATAAGACAATCTATAGCATTCAATAATTGTGTGTATATTCAACCTAAAGGATGCAGGCATCTTTATGACAGTGCTTAAAGGGCCTTTGTCACTTATGTACCTCTGCTGACTTTTGATCTAGTTTGGAAAAATTAGAATAGCTTTCCCAGTTCCTGCACTACAGTTTGCACAACCGGAATTTCCACAATGTCAGTTGTTGTCAACTGATAAATCTGGAAAGCATCAGGTTATAAAAGGCTCTTCTGGAAACAAATATCTTGCATCTTCTCTCTTTATGACTTAGAACCACAATTTGGATTTTTTTTAACCTGTTCACCTCTCCCATTAAACTGGCTATGACACCACCACCAACCTCTTACAGATTATAAATTATTTAGGAATTAACTTGATTTCCAAATATTAGTCCTGTGATTGCATGTCTGTCTTGCATGTACTTTCTTTTGCTTTCTACAAAATCTAGCGTTTCTATTTACAGTATTTTTCCTACTTCTTAGAGGTAAAAAGCAAAGATATTATTACAGCATTTTGCATTTTACTCCTCCTCTAGTATTGAACATATTTACAATTCTCCTTGTACAAAACTAACATTTTGGAAACTGCACTCTTACATGTATTTACCTGAGAGTAATCTCTACAAAACAGAAGGAATCTTTATTCTGAATAAAAATGCATGAAGCTGCTCTGTAAGTCTACTAAATACATCAACAAATTTATGCTGAACTGATAACATAAATTTAGGTGTTAACAGTAGCCACTGCAAATATTTCTAAATTCTCCATTCCCCTTCCGTCCCCTCCCCAAAAGAGCATATGGGGGAAAGGAGGACAGGTTTTTCTCATGGCTTCAGAATTTACCACTAAAACATACTGTTTGAATCTGGGCAGGGGAAAATAGCAGAAAGAATTTTATTTCAAGCTATATTTATGCAATAACCAAAAAAAGAATTACCCCTTATACTTCTATTTAGTACTGTTTTGGACTTCTCAAACTTTACAACTAATAGCAAATTAGTTCTTTTACCCACCCCCAACCTTCTCCCTCTGAATCTACTATTATGACTTAAATCAAGAAGTCTCTTACCTTCTTCTTCACTTTCGTGTTCCAATACTGCATTTTCTTCTTCAAAACTTCCAAAACCTGATTCAATTTGAGGGGGCTGATGATGCTGCTGGCTTATCTTGCTGCGAACCAAGTTAATTTCCTTTTTTAGAAGCTTTGCTCGTTTGCTCCGAGACCCACTGGATTTCATTGCACAAGTGAGATCAAGTTTTTCTAACAATTCTTTCAGCTGCTCTTCCAAAGACATGTGTACTCTGTTGGCAGGATTCAGTAACCTATCCACTGAATTAAAACACAGGCATTTTACAATACTTTTCTGTGGCATACGGAACAGCATGACTCAGCTGCAACAGTGATACTTAATAAAACAAAAGCTACTGGCTGCAACTTTAACTGGCTTACACTGCAAACAATGAAGTGGCATCCTATTTAAACTAACACAACAGAGACCTGAGGTTCTACCCTAGTTATTATTTTATAACATGAAATCTCCCTGTGCTTTTGCTGCAGGATTTTGCTGGTATAAAGCCCCAAAATGGCATGATAAAGCATTGACTTTATATTTCAGATTCAAACTTTGGCATCTCTTAAGAACCTTTTTTTACAAGGCTTCATAGAGTCAGATAATATTGCCATTCAACAGATAACTCTGAGCTCATCTGGCAATCAAGTGACTTAATATATTAACTTTATATATTGATTGCTAGAAAATTAATTCTTCCAGCAGCAATCCAATGTGGAGTACAGTATTACTAATGACAGCATCACTTTTCCAGATCCAATGCACAGACAACATTAACCACATTGCATGTGGACTTTTACTCTAAGGGCACAGCACTAATAGCTGCCACTTATTCAACTGCAAGATAAGGACTGACCAAATCTAACCTCTGCTTTAAAGATATTGCTCAGGTGAGCCTTTTTTTTAACCAGTCAAAAATTGTTTTCTATATCACTCATGCACAACTTATTCTTATATCTCAAGGCAATGTATCACTTCAAAGTTTTCAACATGTGTCATGTGCTGTTAAAACACACGGGTTGTACACCTGTTTATTCAAGATACTGAGTAGCCTTAAGCAAAGCCCCTCCTCCCCATTTTACTTTCATACTACAAAGCTCTAGCAGTAATAGACTCCAGACATTCTATTAAAAGAAAATGACATCAATTTCTGGAAGAGACATTTATATCTAATGCAATATAGCCCTGAATTAAGCTGAAACTTGTTCCAAAAATTATGAAACATTTAAAATGGGGGGGGGGGGTTACTTAATGATGCAGAAAATAATTTATTTTCTGAGAAGGGACTAGTGGAATAATGTAAGGTGAAGAAGGCCATCAATAATTATCTACAAATCTATTAAAATCTATTAGTGTGACCCGCTTTTGTTTTCCACCATTATTCAAGAAGGAATTCATACTATTTGTATAAAGTGTTTTAAAGGTAGAATCCATGGTTTGAGTGCTGAACCTTGAGCAAAAGAAAGGTCTTTCCTGAAATGTCATTGCAAAGTAATTGATGAATTGTTACCACAACAGTGCTGGTACACATACCATATTGACCCAAAAGGTAAATTTAATCCTACATTTAATAATATTAAATTCAAGAAAAAGAAGAATAGACAGGAAAACAAAATCCCTCTGTAAAGCCCACCTTTCCTGCCATGTGAATTTAGGGCTACCAACTACAGATTAAAAGAATCCAGAACAACCCTATCACTTGCCCAATTAATAACTTCTAATTAAAATTATCTGTAAAATACGGCATTTACTATATTAATTGATCCTCATCTGCCTACACCAATCATCCTCTCTCACATATAGAAACCAGACACATTCTTCTCCAACAGGGAGGGAGGAAGGAAATAAAGTACAGTAGGAAGGGAAGAGAAGTAGATAGATATGAAAATATAGGAAAAGGTAAGTGGACAGTGAAGAAAAGAGAGAGAAGTCATATTTAAGCATTACAAAAGTGTTCCATTCATCAGGCAAATAGTCTCTTCCAAGCACCAGAATCTTCAAAGGGATTCCAGTTTCAAAAGCACCATAACACAACATAACATACACACTGTGGAGCCCTTGGGCTTCTCTGAGCTTGGTTGTTTTCTTGCAAATATTTTGTTACCTGGCTAGGTAACATCTTCAGTGCTAGAATGGAATGGGGTTTGGTCTCTGTTTATATACAGTGGCATGCCCTGCCAGTGTTGGTGTGGGTTTTGTTTTATTTTTTCCCTCTGGTAGTTCCTTGATTAGGGTATTGTTTACTGCTGATTGTATGTCTGTTGATATTCTTGGTGTTAATTTGTGCTTATCTGGATGATGACTGCTGCCTATTCAGAGGCAGCCATCAACAGGCACATAGAGATAAACAACATCTACACACTATTCAAAAGAGACAA